CACACAGAGCCTGCGTGAAGCCAGCGGGAGGCCGCGGCAGCACTTGCGGCTTCCTTCACGCCCACCTGTGTGCCGGAAAGCGGCGAGCGGCCTGTTTTGATCACTGCCACGCTCCCTGGAAGAACCTAGAAGGCTGCCTGGCACATAGTAGGTCTAGGTGAGAGGCTGCTCGCGGCTTCAGGGAGAAGCAGTTCCTATTGAGTCAGATAGGCCTGGGATGGAAACCGGCTTCTAGTTGGGGAGGTCACTTTGCCTCTCTCGGCCTCGGTCCCTCCTCTGTCAAATGAGGATAAATCCCATTTCTGCCTGACTGTTAGGAGGATTAAGAAGAGGATGGAGCCCAAACCGGTTTGGCTCAGTGGATAGAGTGTAGGCCTGCAGACTCAAGGGTCCCAGGTTCGATTCCGGTCAAGGGCATGTACCTTGGTTGCAGGCACATCCCCAGCAGGGAGTGTGCAGGAGGCAGCTGATCGATGTTTCTCTCTCATCGATGTTTCTAACTCTCTATCCCTCTCCCTTCCTCTCTGTAAAAAATCAATAAAATATATTTTTTAAAAAAAGAAGAGAATGGAGCTAATAAGTTCTCTGGGAACTTGGCGGGGCTAAGTGAGCACAGGTCATGAAGAGGTGAGGACACTGTCTCTCGAGCAGAAAAGGGGGCAGGGAGGCACCCCCTCCCGGAGGGGTCACCCCACCCCGTGTTTAGACCCAGGAAGGCTTGTTCCCCCACCTCCTGATCCTGGGCCCCCCCATCCTTCCCCTGATGTTCCTGCCCCGCCCACCACAGAGCTGGGGAGGCGCTGAGTGACAGCCACCAGCTGGGCCCTGTTCCTTGGTAACTGCTCCGCAGCTGCAGTGCTGCCCAGTCGCCATGACAACCAGCTGGGACGTGGCCTGGCTGGGCCTGGCGCACAGGCAGGATATGTGGACCACAGATCCGGAGCCAGGAAACACCCCCACGGGGGAGGGTCCTGACGCTGCCGGGACACGGGGTACAGGACCTGGTGGAGGGCCCCCCCGAGGCCGACCTCCTCCGCCCAGAGCCGGGTTGTTTCCATGATAGTTCATGGTTTGGGGAGGAGGAGGTAGAGCTCTGCTCCCCAAAATCTCTTGCTGGCCCTCGCTGATCTAATAACCCAATTACCAAAATGATTGGTCCGCGATGTGCGGGGGAGCCTGACCACCTGTGTTCTCGTATCCGGTCTCCGCCCTTTACTGATGTGCCTGTGGTTGCTCTTACCCAGGCACCCGAGCCTGTTTCCCGTCTGTGATAAAGGACACGAGCAGCACCTCCTCCGAAGGCTGTTGTGAGGTTACATGAGGACCCCTCTGTGCCTTCTCTGCGAGGCTCCAGGTCAAAGCTCAGAGCACCCTGGGGAGTGTCCTGGAGCGCATCTGTCCCTGGCGGCCCCTCAGGAGCCCGGCTCCCCAAGCTTGAGGCCCCTGGCCCAGCTGAGCAAGCGCATGTAGCTGCCAGCCCTCGCCCCTCAGGGCCTGGTGACCAAGCCAGTCTAGGGGCCAGGGTACCAGGAAGGGGAGGAGGGCCCCTGCTGCCCCAGGCCCAGGGCGGGCCTTTCAGGGCTGAGCAGTGGGAGCAACTCCCTGTGCTGCTTGTCCCCCACTTCCCTGTCTGGGGGCTGAAGTGTGACTCAGCTGCTCGAGCCCAGGATAGAAAAGACAGTAAAAGACGCCGGGTGGGCGGCTGGAGCTCCTGCACAGAAAGGGCAACGCACTGCTGTGTTTGGAGAAGCGGAGAAGGAGGGGCTGGGTGGGTCCTGGTCTGGACGGGGACTGGCAGGGAGGGAGGGAGTGCACGCCTGTGTGGACCTGCTGCAGCGCGGGGCGTGGGGCCTGGCACCCGGCACCTGGCACCCAGTAAGGTTTTGTTGAACGAATGAATCACATGTCCCTCCCTCACTAGAACCTAATTCCTGGCTTCTTATTGCCCCAGGGGCTTCCTATATCGCTGACCCTAAAACACTGGGAGGAAGGCACCTGACCACGCACATCCCACAAGTTCAGGTACAACAAGTAGTTGGCTGTGACCTGGGCCAGCCCCTGCCTCTCCGTGGGACTCGGTGTCCTCCTCTGTACCAGGACAGGCTGACTAGATCTCTCAGGGTGTTTCCGGCTCAGATACATGGGACGTTTCCAGGGCATGACAGGTACGAGCAAGTTTACCCAGACAGCTGCTCCCCAGCCTGACTTCCGCGGGGCCATGGAGTGGCCACCCGTCGGAGAGGAACTCACAGCCCTGGAAATGAAGCCAGAGCAAGTGGGGGGTCTGGGGCCGGGCAGAGAAACACGCTGCCCCACATGGGTGGCTCCAGTGTCCTGTGCCAGGAGGGGACAGGCAGGGTCCGGAGGGTGGGGAGGGCTCTGCTCACCCCCATGGCTGTCGAGGCATGTGGCCTGGGGAGACTGACACCGTATGGGTCATGGAAAATGTCCCACCCTGACTCTGCCACTTCCTACGCAGGGACCCGAGTGACCCTCTTTTCCAGCCCCGTTTCCTCGCCTTAAAAAATGGGAATCTCCATAGCAACCTCCCAGGGCTGATGCTCATTAACGACTGGCACTCCCCCAACTCGGACATTCTGCCTCTGAGGGAGGTGGGACGATCCGGGGGTGGGCTTTTAGGACCCCATTGGTTGCTTGGTCAGATAAGAAGCGCCAGACTTGGGGAGCAGCCACCAGCACTTCCCCACACTGGCCTCTCCTCCTTGGACCTGCCCAGGCCCACTCAGAGTTAAAGAGTCCCAGAGAGGACACATGACCAAAGCCTCGCGCTAAAGCGAAGGCCCAAGGCTCCCAGGCAGGATCAAGCCTGGCCACCAACTGTGCAGTCCTGCTGGGTCACCTGACCTCGCGGGCTCCCCAGAGGATCAGTTCTGTCATCTTGCAAGGTTCCTTTTGTCATTGGTGTTAATCCTCACCTGATTTTTAGAGAGAGTGGGAGGGCAGAGGAGAGACATACACCAATTGGTTGCCTCCTGCAAAGGCCTGGGATCCAGCCAGCAACCAAGGTAAGTGCCCTTGACCGGAATTGAACCCGGGACCCTTCAGTCCTCAGACCGATGCTCTATCCACTGAGCCAAACTGGCCAGGGCAGTTCTGTCATCTTGATAGAACCCTCGAAGCATCTAATTTGGCTTCACGTGCTGGGAAAGAATGTTCTTTCATTCTGGTTCTCGCCTTTTAGGAGACTGAGGACACTGTTCCAAACACGTGCCCATCAGTCCTGACTCCTCCTCCCTGGGTTTCCACTGTGCGCCCGCCGGTCACACCCACCTTCCTTTCTGGGAATCGCAACGGCATGGAATCGCTCACACACTGAACACCTGCCATACGCCAGCTCTGCCCAGCAGCGCGCCCTCATTACCCTCTTGAACCTCACAACCACCTTGTGGGTCATCAGTCCTCACTGTAGTCTGAACCAGCACCTGTGCACTCTGAGGGCCCACCACCACCTGATGCCAACCTCCCCTCTCCTCCAGCCCCCACCTGCCTCTGCCAGGTCTGCACCCACCTCCAGCTTCTGCTTGGTGTCAGCCCCCAGGAGGTCACGGACATCTTCGTTGTAGATCTCCAGGTAGGAGGCCCGGACCAGGAACTTGGTGTTCTCCGCACACTGCAGGGAGTGGGCAGAGAGCAAAGACAGACACCTGAGCACCTGCTGCCTCCCCTGGCCCTGCAACCTGAGCCCCTGCAGCCAGACATCACGGTGATGTGGGGTGGGGAGAGGGTGGGGGAGGTCAGGCTTCACAGCATCGCATCATTCTCATATTGCTGTTGTCTAATGCTCTCTCTACAGGCCTCAAAGGAAAAGAAATGGGAGAGGCCTCCCATTGTTCAGGTAGAGAAACTGAGGCCACAGGTAAGGCCTGGACCAAGCACTGGCCCTGGGCTGATCCCTGGCAGCCCTCTCTCCTGTGTGTCACCAGCTGAGTCCCGGGTGCAGGTACAGTGGGCTCTGCAGCTGACCAGGGTCCCTGTCCACACATTGCCATTCCCCAGATGCAGGAATCTCTGTGCATTGCCACAAATGTCACCTGCACTTCTCACCTGCAGCCTGCACACTGGGATGACTGTTTTGTTTTTGTTTTTTAAATATATTTTTATTGATTCCAGAGATGAAGGGAGAGGGAGAGATAGAAACATCAACAAATCATGAGAAAGAATCATTGATCTTCTGGGGATCGAGCCTGCAACCTGGGCATGTGCCCTTGACCGGTATCAAACCTGGGGCCCTTCAGTCTATAGGCTGACACTCTATCCACTGAGCCAAACCAGCTAGGGCTGGGATGACTAGTTTTGACCCAGCCCATAGGGTCTCCAAGTCTCAGCTTCCCGTTCTTGAAAATGGGGATGATGGTTACTGCTGGGCCAGGGTGGGGGTTCAGTGGGATAATAAAGGGCTTTGCACAAGGCTTGGTTTGTAGCAACTGCTCAATAGAATGGAAAGCTGGCCCTAGCCAGTTTGGCTCAGTAGATATCAGCCTGCGGACTGAAGGGTCCCAGGTTTGATCCCGGTCAAGGACACATGCTCAAGTTGTGGGCTCGGTCCCCAGTAGGGGGGCATGCAGGAGGCAGCCAATGGATGTTCCTCTCTCACATCGATGTTTCTCTCTATTCCTCTCCCTTTTCTCTAAAATCAAATTTTTAAAAAAATCCAAAAATGGCAAGAGAAAAACATGCGAGGTGTCATGTCTCAGTTTTAAGTTCTCCCATCAAATTCAGAAAACCAGAGCCTGTCTCCGCTCATCCGTGCTATAGAGGCTCTGATTCATCCCAGAGTCAGAAGTGCTCTGGGACCCCGCGGCCCCGGGCACCAGCCCTGCCCCTGCCCCTGCCCTCCCGAGGCCCGTACCTGCACACTCTCAAAAACGTGCTCGAAGGCCCTGGGGATGATGCCTCTCTGGGTGGGTGGGTTGGGCAGGCCCTGCATGGTGAAGGACTTTCCGCTTCCCGTCTGGCCATAAGCAAAGATGGTGCCGTTGTAGCCCTCAGTGACACCCTGCGTGGGAGGACCAAAACCCGGTGCTAAGCAGGCCCAGCATGGCCTGGTGGAGGGCCAGGGCCAGGTCTGAGGGGCTGACCCCTCCTGGGCCTGGGCCTCCCACCTCGATGTCCCTGGGCTGGGCGTGGGCAGGTAGACATGAATGAGGCACAGCTCTGTCCTCAAGCTCAGTGCCTGCTGGGGTAGGAGACTGTCCCTGTGTGTGGTTAAGAGCTTGTGCCCTGGAGTCTAGCCACCTGGGTTCAAATCGGGCTCCACCCTTTAGTGACTGTGCCCCTGGCCTGTTGGTACGCAGGCACGTTGAGCCTCAGTTTCCTCCTCTGACATGAAGGGTCGGGACAACCTCCAAGGCTGTGTGAGGTTTACCCGACAAGTACTGTAGGCACTGGCAGTGGGGTGCTGGGGTACAGAGGTGCTCACTAAATGTCTGCCTGGATCGTGGGGGAGTGACTCCCATACAAGGCAAGTGGAAGCGAATGTAATGTGGGGAGTTCAGGCCCTGGGCAAGGAGAGGGAGTGTGGGGGAGGGGACAGGACGGTGTGGGAAGATCCAGGCACAGCCTCCTGGGTAAGTGGAACTGGGGGAGCTGAAGGGGAGGCTTGGATTTTGACAGGTGACAGAAGAGGAAGGCATCCCAGGCTGAGGGGACAGGTTGAGCGAAGACAGAGAGGAGGGAGGCTGGGGCGAGGGGGATGGAAGAAGAAGCTGAGAAGGAAGGTAGGGCAAGCGGGTGGCACCCTGAGGTCATTCTTCGTTCAGATGCATTTATTCCTTCCCTGTGCCAGGCACCGTGCTCTGGCAGGGGACAGAGCAATGAATCAGGCGGACACCCAGTCCCTGCCCTCACACATGAGGACACAAATTCTAGAACCTCGTGTGAGGAGGGGGGAACCCAGTGTCAGAACCTGGGCCAGAGAGCTGCTCCTGGACCCCGAGGGCCCACGTGGATCTGTGCCTGCTTCCAATGCAAAGGCCCGCCCCGTAGACCGCGTGGGGCTCCGGTCCCAGGGGACTGCTGGGGAAGACGGGACACCGTTCAGTTCCTTGGAGGGAGGCCTCATTGTCATGGGCAGAATGGACACTATCACCCCTCCCTTGTCTGAGGAAACCCTGACCACCGTGAGGGCTGCACACAGGCACGGGTCCCTTGCGGAGGGTGAGGCTGTGCAGACCCATCACCCAACCGGGGCCACAGCCGGGCTCCTCAGAGCCAGGGGCACACGAAGTCCCAGGAACATGGTGCAGCGCCCAGAGTATCAATGTCACCCAAACCCAGACAAGAGTCCACATAAACATAAATACCCCTGCACCATCCAGGGGGGTAGCTACCAGCCACGCTAGACACATGCCTGGGGCAAATGAGATACTGCCTTTATTTTATTTTAGTTAATTTACACTTAAACACAGAAGCAGTGTAAAATATTTTCCCACTAAACACAGTTCAGTGTGCTTCATTTCGTTTTTACCAGGGACACTCGCACATCTGAACTGAATGTGCTCTAGTGTACGATGGTCTTCTAGGAGCCAAGCAGCCAACGGGGGACTTCGGGAAGCTTTGGGAAAAGTGAGCCCCTTCCACTGGGTGGACATTCAAGGACAAGGACCCGACGGGGAGAAGACTGGACGAGATGACCCCTCAGGTCCCTTCAGCCTGGAAATCCAGGACAGAGAGGAACAGCCTGCCCTCCCCAGAGCCTGGGACCACCCCCGGGGAGAGCGGCCCTCGTCCTCTGGGCATCGTCCTGGGGCAGGGCCTGACCACTGGGGAGCTCTGGGCTTCAGAACACTTCAGCCGCTCCAGGGTTCTGACTATCTTGGAGGAAGAGATGGCGCAGCCAAAGCTGGTGCTCTGGGGATGTTTAATGGCCTGCCGTCCAAAACAAAAAAGGTCCCGTGGTCACATCTATTTTGGAAACACTGGGTTAAAGAAGTTATAGTGGTTTCTTCAATCGAGGGAGTGTGTACAAAGCACTTCCCAAACTTCCCCTCTTTACCTGGAACCACCTGTCCCATCTCAACTAGTGATGCTCTGGCAGCTGGGGAGATGTTGGTAGAAACGAAAGAGCCCTTGCCCGGCGGAAGCAGGTGCAGACCCAGCCCCACCTCTATCAGACTCCCTGTGGGGGCTGGCCAGTCTCCTCCCTCCCAGCTCAGTTTCCCCATCTGTGAAATGTGAGGCCCCTCCCCCCTATGAAGCTCAAAGGAACAGAAGCAGGGACTGGTGAGATCTCCTCCCTCCCGCATAGGATTAAGAGAGGGCTCTGAATGCTGAGGGGGAGAAAGCAGAGGGATGGGGAGGGGGAGGGAGAAGGAGAAGGAAGCTGGAGAAAGTGGCTGGGGCGGTTAGAGAAGCCCTGAAGCTCCCAGGCGAGGGTGGGGGCAGGCGGTCCTGCAGGCTGGAGTTCTGGTGGGAGAGGGCTGTAGGGGTGGGGATGCGGGCAGCCTCGGCACTGGGCGCACTGGAGACCGGGGCACAGACCTGGTGGGCGGGTTCCTGCTCTCCTGCCCGCAGAGGTCTTCAGACCAACCTGCTGGTGTCCAGGGGGCCTCCGGCGGCTTGGGGGCAGTGCCGTCCTGGGGACCCCTCAGGGCGGCCCAAGTCCTGCCCAGCCGGTCCTCGGAGGCGGCCTCCCGGCGCGCTCACCTCCACCAGCGGGTAGGCGATCTCGTTGTAGATCTGCTCCGTGAAGTGGTCCATGAAGTAGGCGCCGTCGAAGGTGAACTGCTTGGGCGGCTCGTCGGTGGCGCTGGGGTTCTGGATGAAGCACTGGCCGCGCGCCGAGTCCACCGTCACCACGGGCTGGCAGTTCAGCTCCCGCTCCCGCTGGTTCATGGGGCGGCAGCGCACCACCACCTTCACCGACTCCGAGGCCATCGCGCCCCGGCAGGGCTCCCCCGGGCGCGGGCCGACCCGGACTACGCGGTCGGGACAGACAACCGCCCGGCAGGGGACCCCTGGCCGCCTGGAGCGGGGGACGCGGCGAGAGCCGGGCGCAGGGGGCGGGTCCTCGTGGAGGGGTCGGGGCTGCGGAGGGAGAACTGGACGCCTCGCGGGGCCTCCGAGGGAGTCGCAGGACCGGAGCCGGGGCCGCTGCCTCCTTCCGTGGCCGGGCTCGTCTATCCCCGAGGCCCGGCCCTGGCGGGGAAATGGAGGATCCGCGCTGCAGGCGCCGCAAGACCCAAGCTCCCAGCCGCCCGCTTGCCCTCAAGCTACAGCGGCGTTCGCGGTTGCATAGCAACGCACGTGGCGTCACAGGTGGCGGCCCGCGAGAACGACCACGCGCTGCTCGCGCTCGGCCGCCGGAGTGTGGACAGGTGTAGCCCCGGCTCGAAGCCGGCCCGCGGGGGCTGCCCGCCCGCTCCGTCCCGCCCGCTGTCTTCTCCGATGCAGCCCCGGTGCAGAGGTGAAGCCACTGGCCCGAGGTTGCCCAGCTAAGCGGGGAGGCCAGGCCTGACGCCACCGCTCAGAGAGAGACAAGAGGAGGGGCCTCTCGCGGGGGTCAGAGACCCACTGAGACAGGCAACCAGGACTTTGCTTTTCTCACGTCCCTGACTCAGAGTCCCTGGAACAAGGCAAATTGTCTTTCCAATGCCGCCCTCGTTTTTTCTAAGCCTCAGGATGAACAAACAAAACACTTTGAGAGCCAAGGTCTTTTTAGTTGTCGAGGCTGCCTGGCCTGTCTCCCGGCTCAGCACACGTCCCTCCAGCCAGAACAGCCGCCTCTAGGCTCCACTCTGCACAGAGTCAGCTACCTGCCAGGCATCGTAGTAGGCGCTGGGAGACAGCCCAATCCCTGCCCTCCTGGCGCCCATAGTCTAATTGAGTGGGGGAGACTGACATCAAAACCAAATCTCCCACATACAAAAATCCCAGCAATGAACTAGTCATTACAAACTAAAGGGCCAGTTCTGTGGAACATCCAACAGGGGGACCTTACCCGCAACCCTCCCCCGCAGGCTTCCCGAGAGTGACAGGAGCTGAGATGCTAAGGTTGAGTTAACCAGGCAAAAGGCAGGGAGGACAAGACCTGTCCCGGCTGTGCAAAGGTCCTGTGGCATGTTGCAGGAGCAGAAGGAAAGCCCAAGTTGCCAGAGCACAGGACTTGAGTCTTTTTCCCACAGGAAATAACCACTGAAGACTTTAAGCAGGAGAGAGAGGATTTGAAAATACTGATCCGATTCCTTCAGGACACCCTCTGCCTCTGAGAACAAGACCTGTCTGCTCTGCCAGTCAGCACCATCTGAAGGTATGTTGGCAAACAAAAACAAAACAGGAAAACTGAACAGGGACATCACCTTGCAAAGGAAAAGTTGGTACTGAACAATCCGAAGAAATGCGTTTTATTTCAAGTACATACAGTAAGGAGAACTGGGCTACCCAGGCGGTGCTGGTTGGAAAAGAGAAAACTGATCTACGATTAAGACACTGACGTGTTTGCACACATGGGTCAAAAGCCTTGCCCTGTTTGTGCCACGTGAACAATAAATGCCGTGAAAAGGAATGTTAAAGTGCTTTGGGCACACCCTGACGCCTTATCCACATGGATAATTTGCACAACAAAACACATCCATCACAGAGGCAAAGCTCTGGCCTAAGCTGGGCCAGTTACCGGCTCTTAAATGTGCAACTCCAGTGCTCTCATCCTGGGCCCTGTGTCAGCAAACCCCTCTCCTGACCAGGGAAATGTAGGGCTGGGTACTCCCACTAGGGACCAGGGCTTTGCCCAGGGAGATGGGTTCAGGTAGCAATGGCTGCACAGGGAATTGCGGGTTCCCGTTCACGGTCAGTACAGAATCAGCGCTGTCGTTCCAGAGAGATGAGCCCCCAAGGGCAGCTTCCCCCTCTCTCTTCTGACAAGAACAACAAGGTCCCTCGCCAAGACCATCCCGGCAACGGGATTGTCAGCTGGGAGCACCAGCTCCCCAGAACCCTCCCTCCGTTTCTCTTCTGTGGGGCTGCTGTTCATGGGAGGAGTCAGAATCTGTTACTTGCAAGGCACCGAAAGTCACATCCAACTCCCAGGAGAGGGAGAGGGCAGCCCCAGATTCATGACCAGGCCTCTGCCTTAGAAACAGAAATTCCCCCACAGTGAGCTTCCTCCCTATCGTGGTAGATTAGTGCCTGTCAAGATTACCAATGAAGGGGGTTCCTGCCAGTCAGCACGGGATCAGTCCCGCAGACTACGGTCATTTCCGTGACTCGCTGTCCATCGAGGCCAAGCCCCCCTGGCAGAGCCCACATCAGTTCTAACTGTGGATGGCTCTCCTCTGACCCGCGCCCCAGTGGAACTAGCCTAAGAGGGGCACGGCGGCTCCCGACAGCCCGGTCAGCGCCACGCTGAGGGCAATCCCCTCATCAGGTGACTTCGCAGGCAGCCACCACACCTCCTGCAGCCTGCAGGCTGAGCCGGACTCTGGTCCACCCTCTAAGCCCGTGGCTCACTGCGATCCCCTCTCAGTCAAGCGGCAAAAGGAAATGCACCGTGTGTGTGTCATGGGGAGTGGACGAGGCTGGGCAACCCTCCCCGTGAGCGGGATCACCACCCTGTGGTTTTGAGTACAGACAAGCCGGCTTCCCAAGCGCTGCACAGGGATTCTGTGCCCCGATGGCTCACGTCCCTCTCTGCACACAGGTGTCCACCCCGCACATGGGCTTTGGGTGGTGTGGCTCTTCCTCCACCCTGGCCTTTCTACGCTCCTACCCCTGCTCCTCAGAACTCAGGGGAAGACTCCCTACCTCAGACGACTTGAGAAACTGGCAGCCAGGACGGGGCCCACAGGCTCCACTGAGTCATCTCCGTGTCTCTCCTGAGAGGGCGGCTCGCCCAGGCCTTGGCCCAAAGTGAAACCTCACTCCGCCCGCCTCCCCAGGCACCTCACCCTCCGTGTCTGGCTGCCTGTCAGGAGCTCTCCAGAGACTCCCAGTCAGGGCCCCCGAGCCTGGCCTCCTAAGGGGCGGCTACCCCTCCACTGGGACTAACTCTTCCTGCCCCCCCCCCCCCCCCTCCCCAGAAAGCTCCCGTGAAGCCCAGAGGACAAGCACCCAAGCCACCCAGCAAGTTCACGGAAGCCTGGAGATCTGCTACCCACCCTGCAGTCTCAAGGGGCCACATGTAGAGGGAGAATCCCCAATCTCAGGCTCCGCCACAGTCAGCGAAGTGATAGAAGGCTGGTCCAAGGGGCTGAGTGACTGGATGGAACTGACCAGGGGGGTGGAAGAAGGGCAGAGTGGCCTGCTGAGGCCCAGGGACCCAGGGGAGGCCAGGCCTGTTGGTGTGGGGCCCGGCCTCCTAGCCCAGGCCCTGCAGTTCTGCCTCGGACTTGGCATGGCTAAGGGGCCGGAGTGTCCGGGGAGGCCTGCTCTCGGGCCCACAGTCCTGCTCCTCGTAGCCGGGGTTCAGGCGGCCCATGTCGAGCGAGCAGAAGAGGCTGCGCGCAGTCCCGGCGTGGTGCTCTACCAGGGCCTCCAGGCTGGAGAACTCGGCGGGCAGGTGCTGGGGGAGGGAGGGGCTTCAGTCTCAGCTCCCCCTGCCCCATGGCTGGTGCCAGGCACCAACCACCCCCTCGCCTGGGATCCTGCCCCACTTGAGAGAGGAGGAAATTCGAGCTCAGGGAGGTCACAGCACAGCCAGGCACCATTTCCTCTCTCTCTCCTCCCAGCCTGGCCGGGACGGAGGCACTTAGCATGGAGGGAAGGGTGCACATCTAAAAAGGCCCGGAAACCTGTGATCATCCAAGACTCCAGACCTGGAGACTCAGAGGCTGCCTGAGCTTAAGCAGGCCCCTACCCTGAGTCAGCTTCCTCCTCTGCTAAGAGATGGTTAGGGTGTGGGAAAGCAGACTTACAAGCCGGGATCCCCACAGAATGTGAAGCATGACGCTAGCCCCAGACTCTGCTGGTGGGACCCTCTAAGGCCTCTAGAGAGGGGCAAGGGCGAGCCCAGAGGTAGAGGGGGGGCTGAGTGGGCCAGTGGGGCGGGGGCAGCAGGGACCATGACTAAGGAGCCCGATGGAGGTAAATAAGGGATGGGGCCAGAGAGAGCCCAGGGGGACCAGAGGAGGGTGAGGGGCCTGAGGGCACGTGGGGGGCTGACGTCCCGCACTCTACCTCCACGCTGTAGCGGCCCAGGTGGTTCCGGAAGACTTGGTGGGGCACCACGCCGCACTGTGTCCGCACGGACAGGCACCACTGGCCGCAGGCGCCCGGCTCGGGCCACAGCAGGAAGGCCCCAAGCACGTCTCTCCGGAGCAGGGCGAGGGCACTGGGCCTGGGGTGGCAGAGGGAGAGGCTGAATGTGGGACCTCTAGTCTGGACTGTTTCAGGTTGCTCCCAGGCAATGGTGTATCAGCCCCAGAGCATCTTTTAAAATATAAATATATATATATTGTTGTTGATTTCAAGGAGGAAGGGAGAGGGAGAATCATTGATGGGCTGCCTCCTGCACGTCCCACTATGGGGGATAGAGCCCGCAACCCACACACATGCCCTGTGACCTGATTCATACACAGGTCGGTGCTCAACCACTGAGCCACGCTGGCTGGGCCCATACCATCTTAAACAAGGTACCTGTCCGAGAACAGGGCCTCCACGACAGGGATCTTTTAGCCTTCCGTTCAGAAGGTTTCTAGGGCGTCCTTAACTGACAATTTCAAGACCTGGTCAGAAGCATTTTAAAGACCTGACATTGAGGGAGCTGTCGCCTGGTGCTGAGGTCTTTCCTTCTTGGAATGACCTCATTTGATCCTCCCACAGCCCGGCCACGAAGGTCCTGTTGTTATCCCCTCTTTAAAGCTGAGAAACTGAGGCCCAAGATGCTGGAGACTCTGGCCCGAGATCAGGAACGCCCTGCCCTTGCACAGGAATAGGCACCTACATGGCAGGGCCCTGAGGGGCAGAGGGCGCCCACAGCCTATCTCTCTGCTCACCCCAAGGGGCTGGGCATTCAGCCAGGCCAGGCCCCTCCTACCTGGAGATGCCAGCAAAGGCCCAGATGTTCTCGGTCAGGCTGCCCTCACTTTCCACCAGGCTCGCGAGGCCACCAGGACCTTGCGGCCACGCCTCCCACGCGCCAGGAACTATGGAGACCATCCAGAAGTCAGAGGGAGAGACTGATTCATCCCAACCCAGCCCACCTCACCCCCACAGGCCCTATGACCCCTCCTCACCAGCAGCCACACATCCAGCCTCCAAAAGACACATCCACACACAAGCACAGCCCACACCAGTTCAGCACATCCACAGCCACACCATCACCTCTGCGAGCCCTGGCACTCGGACGCGGATGCACTCACGTGGGCACGACACACAGTCACTCACAGCACAGGCCTCTGCTCGGGGGCGCCGGCAAGGCCTGGCAGAGAGACTTTGGGGCCCACTCCCTCCGACTCACACAGGTGCACAGGCCGCGCCCCAGGTACGCACGGGGCAGGCGTGCTCCTGCTACTCACAGGCCTCCCGGGCCGACAACTGCAGCTGGGTCTCGTAGGTGCAGCCGCGGTAGGCCCCGGAGCGGATCACCTTGCTGCGGATGGCCTTCTTGCGCACCAGGGTCGGGGAGCAGTAGGGATTCCCCAGGCGGGAATGGCGGGCACTCCCACAGCCTTCCAACCCCAGCAGCTCCTTCTAGGGTACCAAGAGGGGCCCAGCGGGGTTGGCAGATCAGGTCTAGCCACATCAGGTCAGGCGAGCCCCTCCCTCTGAAGTCCAGCAACCAACTCCACGTGATGCCAAAACCTCACCCAGTTCCCTGCCCGCTGCCCACTCCCTGGCTGGGGTTGGGTGCTGCATACCCCACTGCCCACGGGCCCCTCTGCTGACAGCCGCCGGAAGGAGACCAGTGCACGCACGTTCTGTGAGAGCTGATCACGGACGAAGGGCTCCCGGACTAGGCCAGGGGGCCTCCCAGGGCTGGCCAGTGGCTTCAGGGGCACATCCCCTGCGGGCCCCAGGCAGGGCTCAGGCTGTGCCCGCTCCGCAGGGTGCTGCGAGAGGTAAGCGAGCTGGAAGGAGCGGCAGAGCAGCAGGTGCAGGATCTGGACCTAGCGGGAGGGGAGGGCCGGGGAGGGCTCCGGTGAGGGAGGGCTCCCGGCCAACACCTTAGGCATCAACCCACTCCCCAAAGGGGCATGCCACCCCTTGGCTTGGGATGCTTTTCCCGTCAGTGGGAAAACGCCTACTTACCCCTCAAAACCTCACCACCATGCAGCCTCCCCTACCTGAGCATCTACTCTGCTCCAGGCATCATGCTTGCAGCTGGGAACACCTGGGCTACATGCACTCCACCCCATGCATTGGGTCAGCACCCTCTTAGAGGGCTGGCTAAGAGCCCAGGCCTGGAGTCACAGACCCTGGCATCCGACCTGGGCTCTGTCCCTTAGGAGCTGCTGTGACCCTGGGCAGAGCACGGCACCTCTGGCCTCATTTCCTCATCCCTGCCTCCCTGTGCTCCTTTAATAAAAGGAAGCACAAAAATTCCCGGGCAGCCCTAACCGGTTTGGCTCAGCGGATAGAGCGTCGGCCTGCGGACTCAAGGGTCCCAGGTTCGATTCCGGTCAAGGGCATGTACCTTGGTTGCGGGCACATCCCCAGTAGGGGGCGTGCAAGAGGCAGCTGATCGATGTTTCTCTCTCATTGATGTTTCTAACTCTCTATCCCTTTCCCCTCCTCTCTGTAAAAAATCAATAAAATATATTAAAAAAAAAAAATTCCCGGGCAAAGGCCCAGCACTCTCCCCAGCACACACATTCCCACACAATGGAATTGTGAGCTCCAGATCCAAGGCCATGTCTCAGCCACGCTCTCTCCAGGAGCCAGCACGGGGCTGGGCACGCAGGGGTGACGGCCAGCGCTTGCTGCGGGACGGAACCAGACCCAGCCTCTTCTTGCTGAACAACTGGCTGCCAAGGCTGCTGTTCGCAGCGGCCACACTGGCTTTGACTTCCGGGATCTACCTGCCCACCCGCCGGCTCCATGGAGCCGCACACTGGAACCCGGGCCCAGTCTCTGCTCTGGAAGAACTCCAGTGTCTGCAATTAGGGACAGGCCTAGCGATGACAGGGTGTGGTTCATGTCACAGGTCACAGGTCCCCAGAAGGGAGTGGCGGGCTACGGGTGTCACAGTGGGCTGCACAGGCACATGGGCTGAGCCTTGAAGGGCAAGTTGGAATTTGCCAGGATGAGAAGGTGAAGGGCACCCAGGTAGAGGGAACAGCAGGAGCAAAGGTGTGGCAGGGTGACCTTCCAACACCCAAGTGCATGGCCTAGTCTCCAAGGCACACTGAGGCCACTGACTTGCTTCTGTGGAGTCCTCAGTGGGCAGAGGCATAGAAGGAGCCCGTGTGGCAATGGGTGCAGGTCTGGAGGGGGCTCAGGACAGCCTGGCCAAGCCCTCCATGACCGCTCGATCCCTGGAACCCCATGCTGACGCACAGCACCCCTCCACCCCAGCCTCAGTGGTGGTCCCCTGGCTGGGCCCAAGGTACCTCTCCAGGCTGTCTGCCCACAAAAAGGTGACAGAAGAGCTTGCTGGCCGGGCTCCGTGGGTTTCGGGCCACAAAGGCAAACTGGCAGTCGTCTGGGCACCAGGTGGAGTAGAGTATTCGCCTCAGGGCGTGTGCCATCAGGAGCACCTGGGGAGGCAGCGGGCATGACAGCCTCCATCAGACCCACCACTGGGGCTGCAGCAGCCAGCCCAGTGTGAGCCAGCCCTGCGTGCCCCACACACCTGCTGGCAGGCCTCCCGGGCCTGCTCTCCAGCCTGCGTGCCCAGTTTCGGGCCCACCCAGCTCCTGGGGGAAAGAATTCTTCCCTCCTTCCAGGCCTGCCCAAACCCTGCTTCAAATCGAAACCCTCATCCTTCCCTGGCTACTGGGCTTAAATCTCTTGCTCCCTCTGCCACCTGCTGGAACCGCGGGGCATTCACAGCCTGCAGGGTCGCAGAGGCAGGGCGGCAGGCCCTGGGGTGCACTCCTGGTCTGGAGGTGGATGAGCTGGGTTTGCATCCTGGCTCTGCCACTGTCTCTCTCTGGATGCCTTGGGCAGGTGAGTAAAGCCCTCCCCGCCCCCCGGGATGGGGCTGTTGGTGGGTCAGTGAGACCTCGTGCAAGTGGCACCGGGCCCCTTCGGTGCACACCTCTGGGACACCAGGGGCACCGGTCTTAGGAGGTGGCACCCAGCCTCCTGGTGTGTACCGTCTGGCATGCAGTTAGTGTTCAACAAACGCTGGCTTGCACCGGGAGAGGCTGGGCGAAGGAACAGGAGCCCCCTAGCCTCCAGCCTGAGTCTGACCCCCCTTCCACAGTCATGAGAGGCTGGCCCCAGCCCGCTGGGCAGGCTACGTAGGGGCCCAGGAACTTGCCAAAACCTCACGGGTCGTTCCTGATGCTCAGGCCAGGAGGTACTGCCTGGAGGTTTTGGAGGGCCGGGATCAGGGGTGAGATGGATGAGAAACGGCTGCCTGCTGAGCTTGCCTTGGGGGGCTCCCTGGAGAGAGGACTCCCAAAGGCCCTGAGCAGCCTGGGAAGCTGGGAGGCTCCAGGGGCAGTGCAGGGCCTGCGTGGAGGCAAGTACATCTTGGAGGACACCTGTCCTGCCCAGTCCTCACCTGCACCCCCGGGCTCCTACCTCACCCTCCCCGCTGTAGATCTTGAGGCCCTGGAGGCTGAATTTCAGGATGACGGCCCGGCGTCGGGGACAGTCCTGGTGGAAGAGAGTTGGTGGGGGGCAGGTATTACCTCTCAGGCCCTGCCCTGCCCAGCCAGCCTCAGTCCCAGTCACTATGGGTGGTTAACCAACTCCCCCACCTGCCAGGGGACCGAGCCCTGGACAATGGACCCTCGGGAGCCAGGGAAGGGTGATGACTCCTGGCAGACCTCCCCCAGCCAGGACCATCCCCGCATCTCCCAGCTGTGCCTTCCACCCTGGGGACACTGGTGCCAACTAAGGGAGAGAGTCCCGGGCATAGGGCACGTGGCCCCAGGAGCCTGGGCGTGGAATGGCTCTGTCCTGCCCTCCCTGGGCCTCACTTGCTCCCTCTATGGTTGGGGGTGGGAATCAGATGGATGGTCCCAGCGGCCATTCCAAGGCCGGGACCCCCACGAGCGAAGCGCCCTCCCCAGCTCTCCTACCTTCAGTGCCCACAGCTGCTGTTGCACCAGCCACACGCCCTCCTGGGTGTCCAGGTCATCCACGGAGAAGGAACCCACGTACTGCTTGGGCGTGGGTGGGGGTGGGAGGGAGGCAGGGAAGTCAAGCTCATGGCTCCCGACCCCCATCCCCAAATTCCCCCCCAAGCACACACTGCTCTGCTGGGTAAGCTGTGGCAGAGCACTGTACTCGGAGTCCGGGCTCTGCTATTTCCCAGCAGGTGGCCTTGGTCAAGCCACTCAGCCCCCCAGGCCTCATCTCATCTGTGCCAACACACACATTCCCGAGCCTGGGTCAGGGAGGGAAGACACAGAAATAGGGCCTCCCCACAGCTCCTCCCCACGCCCACCAGAGCACCCATGGGAGAAGGGGTGGGAAACCCACCTGGGCAAACTTGGTGATGCACCTGGGTCGGTGAGGGGCAGGGCCGCAGTCAGAGGCCCTCCGGCCCCTTGCCCCAGCCTTCTGCATGGCCCCCAGGGTGCCCAGCTTCAAGCCTCACGGGAGAGAAGGCTGCAAAGGGCAAGGCAGAGGGCTGGTTCCTAGGCAGTCGAGCCCCGTGCTCCCATTGGATGCCAGTCAGCTCCTTCATTAGACAAACCCTTGCTGAGCATGTGCAGTGTGTCAAGCCAGGCCTGGGCACTGGAGACATAGGGGACACAGAGACCTGAACAGAATAACCCCCCCTCCCCGCCCCCATGCAGCCAACATTCTCGTGGGGGAGAAAGACATTAGATAAGTAAGACATTAGATAAGACATGGAATATGCTAGGTGGTAACAAAGCAGAGAGGAAGATATGAAATGCAGGTTGGGAGTTGACTGCAGCCGGAGTGAGGTTTGGGAAACAGCTGAAGGAAGGGGTGCGGCAGTCCACGCCCTGGGTCAGATATTGACCCCTGTGCTCTGGGCTGGGCTTCTACAAAGAGCAGGGGGGTGGGGCAGTACCACCGGAGAGGAGGGGTGTGACAGCAGGGAGACCAGTCTGCAAAGGCACAGAGGAGTGAAAGGAGCTGGGCCATTACGTGCCGGAGCCAGGTTGGGACTAGGGAACGCCGGCTCTGTCCTGCGGCAGTGGGGAGCCACAGCAGGTTCCAGGACAGGAGCTCTGTAGCCTTCAGGGGTGGCCTGTGAGCTGGACGCCTAGAGCTGCCTCACAGGCCCCCGGCTTATCAGCTCAGCCTGACTCCAGCCCCTTGCCCGAGCCCCCACCACGCAGTGCACTGATGCTGAGCCAGGAGGCAGGGAAGGTGGACAATGCCCGGGGGACTGCGGGGCCCCACCCCCAACCCAGCCCCGGTTCTGGTCTCTCCTGGGGTCCCTCTCCCAGATCCACCAGTGGAGGAGAGGAGGAAACCCCCCGGAGGGGACTGTCCTCCCCAGCAGAGAGAGCGCTCACTCCCACCAGAGCGCAGGACCACAGCTGGTGCTGGTGAGCACGGAATAAAGGCACCGCAGGAAAGAGTGGCTGACCGCCTCCGCCCGGGTCCCTGAGGCCTCAGCCCGTTCTTCCTGGGCCCGACCCCCGCTGGCGGTGTCACCAGCCTACGTGCAATCCCTGCGACGTGGGTCCGAATCCTGTGTGACTTTGGACAGGCCTCCTCACCTCTCTGAGCTGTTTCCTCGTCCCCAAACCTGGAATAATGTGAGGAGTCACTGAGGAATGAACGGAGGAGCAGGCACCCAGTGTGATGCCAGCCAGGCTCGGAGCTGATGCCCAACAAACACGGTCTCACGGGGCGGGAGGCCCCACAGCCTGGTGTTCAGGAGGGAGCTTGGGAGGCAGTGAGGGGGGACCACTTGCAGTGCCTCCTTCACTGGGCCCACTTGATAGAGATCATCAGTCTGGGAGGGCGTGGCAGGAGGAGAGGCCTGCCTGAGGGCCAAATTCCAGGAGAAAGGAGGGATCAGACAGGGTGCTGGGCAGGAAATGGGTGCATTGTGGGTGTGCTCAACCGCCTGCAGGGGTCCTTGGAGAAGGAGGCTTTGGGTGCTTTGGACTGACATTGACACTGCGCCGGGAGCTGGGGAACAGCCCCTACTCTGCCTGCCCGTGACCTTCAGCCCCAGGCTCAGGCCAGAATGGAGGCACCAGCAGCAATCAGAGCCAGAAAACAAAGGCTGCGCCACCCCCTGGACGCCTCCCGCCTCCTCCCTCCGGTGCTCGCTCCTTTTCCTCACGCTTTTTGATTCTGGTCATCTTTCACATCACGTCTATTATCGCTTACGCCTTTTATGTGTAAGTAAAGCGAAGTTAGACGTGTAACAGGCACCGCAGCTCCGCGGCTCCCACTCCAGGCGCGGAGGTGGGGGCTCCAGTGAACTGATCTTTCAACTCCCTAATCGCAGCATGGGCTGGGAGGCCCTGCACCCAAAGGCGGTGAGGATCGGAGGAGGCGAAGACGGAACAAAACGGGGGAGAGGGAGAGAGAGAAAGAACAGAGGATGAAAAGGCCGCTACAGAAGTGGAAAGAGTGAGGGGTAAGAAAGATAACAGGAGAGATGAAGGCGAGACGGAGGAGGGAGGGATACGGAGCACACTCCTGCCTGTGCTGACGCAGCCCCTCAGACAACGCAAGATGGGAAGGAGCCTCGTGGGTCAGGACAAACACCTTCCCTCGCACACCGGAGACAGCTGTCAGCTGTCTAGGGCTGGGCATAGCCTCCGCCCCTCGAATCCAGAGCGGTGGCTCTTGGGGATGCCCAGGCCCAGGCAGTGGGGATGGGGAGGTCACTGGCCCTCTCATGAGCCCCACCCCATCCATTATCCCCTGGAAACTCGCCCAGGAAACTGGAAGTTTCTCCCTCCCTCTCGCTCACTTGCCAGCCGCAGGGGCCCTTCAGCCCCAGGCCTGGAGTTGGGGGCTGCCCAGGCTCACCCTGACCTGCATGCCTGTTCCAGGCACAAACACCCACTCATCTCTTTGGACCAGGCCTGTTTTTTCTGAGGTTCTGCACAGGAGCCTGTGGGCCCGGCACCTCTCTGTGGGGACACCTTTGGAAGGAGGAGGGGCTCTTGCTCCCAGGTTTCCCAGGTGGCCCTGACTTGCCTGGAGGGTTCAAGGACAGAGGTCCCACTCCACGGTACCACAGCTGATGGGGGGCCCCCTTTCCAGCATTCGGGGGCACTACTCAGCCTGCAGAGTCTGGGCTTAGCAAAGGGTCACTCAGGGGGGTGAAGTCACCTGCCCAAGGTCACGGGGTGCAAGGGGGGGGCGGGCAAGTGTGGAAGCAAACCCGGGTCTCTGGGGCTCTTCCTCAAGGCCAGGGCTGTGCCCTTCTCTCAGGCTCCCCTCCCCCAGCAGGGTGTCCACCTTCAGAGTCTGGTGGGTCCCAGCCTATCCAGCTGCTGCAACACCTCAGGGGCTGGGGGGCTGATGGGATCAGCAAAACAGCAGCTTTCTCTCTCTAACTGCCAGATGGTCTGGGGCTGCCAGGGCCCCCTCAGTCACTTGCTTCACCCCCACTGCCTTTGGCTTAGCTGCACAGATGCGCCCCCCGCCCTAACACACCCTCCAGGGCCACCCCCCACCTGCCCTGGGCCGGGAGGAGAGAAACGGACACCCCGCAGCCCAGGGCCAGGGCCAGGGCCAAGTCCCTGGATTATGGGTCCCACCAGGTTGGCTGGTGTGACCTTGGGCAAGTCACTGCACCTCGAAGCCTCCACTCCCTCACCTGTAAATGGGGGAATAACGGCAGCTACCTCCTGGGGGGCACTGGTTTCTTCCGAGACTATTTGTTTCTTCCGAGACTATTTCCTAGCGGGACTCCGGGCCAGGGGAACAAAGTCGCAGCCTGGTGGAGCTCAGGCCGGCGGGGGGCCGGGGCCCGAAACCAACATGGGGGGGGGGCGTTAATGACTCAGAGAGAAACGCAGCAGGGGAGGAGGAGCCGAGGGTGTGTGGAGGGAAGGGGGTGCTAACACAGGTGGTCGAGGACGGCCTCTCCAAACACGACCTGCGCGGAACGTGCTGTTTTCAGGAGGGGCCGCCGCAGGGCAAAGCGGCTCCATGGCGGGTGATCATCCCTACGATTGCGGATTCCTGGGGGAGCGCTGCGAGGGGCTTTCCAGGGCAGCCCCGGCCCGGGGCAAGAGGAACTCCCCGGACCCACCGAGGGGCGAGCGAGCCAGACGCTTGAAGGGCCGGCGGGGGTGACGGGTGATGATGGTGTTGAAGCAAGGGCAGAGGTGGGTGAGGGTGACGGTGATGGGTGAGGGGGGGTGACGGAAGGGAGGAGCAGAGGTGCTCCTCGCCACCGGAGACCCTCCCCCATCTCTGCGCGGGAGGACCGAGCCCGGCACCCGCCGCCCCCCTGCCTGGCCCGGCTCCCGGCTCCCGGCTCCCGGCTCTCAGGCGCTCACTCACCGCGGCCGCCGCGTCTCAGTCCCGTCGCCGCAGCTCCGCGGGGTCTCCACCTCCCGCTCAGCCGCCCGCCGCCCCCGGCAGCCCCCACGTGGCCGGAGGAACCAGCATTCGGATCACCTGGCGGCGGAGCCCGGCCCTCTCCCACCAATCAGCGCCCGTAGAAGGGGGTTCCCCTCGGGTCCGCACCGCCCAATCAGCGGCCGCGAGGGGCCCTGGCACCGCCCCCTTCAGCTCGCACTCCGCCTTAGAGGGTTGGGGGTAGGGGGTAGAGTCCCCGCCCTCCGAGGGCGCCTCTTCCAGGGTTGGGGTCTCCCATTGCCCAAAGCCTCGCTGACGGTCCCCCCTCCCGGAGAGTCCTTCCCGTCCCGCCCCCTGGCTAGCCCCCCCTTGCCATCCAAGTTGCTCCAGCGGTCCTCCTCCTCCAGGAAGCCTTCCCTGACCACCAGGGACGGACTCCTCCGCCCACTGCGGAGCCCTCGCGCCTCTTGCTAGTCGTCCCACTCCTCTAACTAGAGAGCCAGCCGTTCTGGTCAGGAGGCGAGTCCATCCCCAGTGCGAAGGGCAGAGCCTGCGAGCAAATGAACGAGGTCGGGGTCCCGTCCCGCGGAGCCCGGCCAGTCTCACCCTCCCTTCCCTCACCTGGGGTTGGGCGGGGGTAGCTCGTCTTCCTCCGAGCCCTTCTCAGAGGATTATCTGAGCCTGCCAAGCTCAGGACCTGCATCAAGAAGTCTCCTCATGAACACTGATCATTGTACATGGGCCGGGACCCTGCCCTTCGGTTACAAGGAAGCCCACTTCGATGGGGAAATCGACTCAGCAGGGGAAACGGCTGCGCAAATCGAGCCAGAAGTGTCCCTGACAGCTCTGAGCTGGAGAGCACTCTTGTTCCCATCAGGCCAGGCATTCTACTCTCCAGGTGCCCAAACTCAGATCGCAAACCCGGTGACACCCCAGAAAAGCCAGGACACAGGTGCTCAGGGCCAGGGGGGAGCAAAGGCTGAGGTGGGCACCCTGGCAGAGAGAGACTTGGCCTGGGTCTGAGGACCTCAGGGGAGGCGGGAAGGAGGCAGGGTTGAGCCAAGCCTGGGTACCAGGCATCCCCTTTGTCTCCCCAGAGCCTCTGAACGCCTTCCAGAGGCAGCAGTGATGTGTAATGGTTACAGGCGTGGTCCCAAGTCTGGGCACTACACATTCACCAAATGGGACCTCAGGCAAACACCTTAATGCTTTGATCCCCGAGTGACTCTTCTGTAAGAGTTACTAACACCTGACTCACAGGGACGGGAGGATTCCAATGAGTTAACGTGGGCCAAGTGCTTGGCACAATGCCTGACCCATACCGCACCATAGTAAGCGAAGTGCTCAGTAAATATTAGCTGGTATTAGATTTGGCGTTTATTCTTAAGTGTCTTTTGTACATGATTGAATGGCAAGTGTTTATTGACTTCCACATGCCAGGTGCTCTGGGAAACCCTTCAGTGAGGAGGCCATGTGACAGCCTTGAGCCCAGGAATGAGAAGGATCGAGATGGTTTACAAATTGGTCCTGCTCTCCAAAAACTCTAATTTATGAAGCTCAGGGTACATAAAGAATAAAGGGTTAATTCTTTTTTTAAAAAAGGGGTAATTCTTACTAGCTTCCTAAAAATTTTAAATAGAGGATTTGCCAATTACTAGATCCACAGTCCATTTTGAGACAATTCAGAGAAAACAACACA